GGGTAGTGGGAGTTGGCACCCAGACCACTCCAATGGGCAGAAGTGGTCTGGGTGCCTGGAGTGTCCCTTTAAGTTATTTGTGGAACCTCCCATAAAATGAAGTGACAGCGAACAAAAAATAAAAAAAAGATATTTACCTCCCATAACTTGTTGACTTGTTATGTAATTACCAGGAAACTATAACTGTCAGTATACATTTATCTTGTTCGTTTGTAATGTGCACTGTGTTGAAGTACAGAAACAAAACAAATGTTAGTGTTAAAATAGGAATGCACTGTGTAGTGTTTTTTTGTTGATTATGATTATTTCTTAGTGTGGTTAATAGTCTCTTTTTTTCTGCTTTATTTATAGTTACTGAGATCTATCTATCAATCAAGAAAATCACTGCTTACTAGGTTAGATCCAGATACTGTGAATTGTCAAACATTTGCCCTATTCCCTATGACAAGATTGTCTGGAATCATGAAAGATGTTGGTCCTTTGAATAACCTCACTGAACAATAGAATAGATTGGCAGATTTTGATTTTAGAGATAAGAAAACAGAGGCATCAATGTATTGAAAAGTTTTTGGATGTAGGTAACCATTTAGAATCAAGGCATTATCTCGTTGGAACTCAAAAGAAGGAAACTAAGTGAAGTGGAACACTTTTACAATCCGTTTTTGGAAATTGGATGGCAAAACTTCATGACAGAATGTGAAGCATCTGGAATTGCAATAATAATATGTACAACAGCATAAGACATTCAGAGAAGATACTCGTGATTCAACACAATTTAAGACTGTAAAATTAAACCATTGTTTTGGTATTATGAAAGGGTGATCATGGCTCCCTTTAAGGCTATGTCTGTATTTTTGTATGTCATATAATATTAAAATTAATTACCTGTAATAGATCTTTTAATTTCCACACATGTTTAATTATAATTTAATCAAAAATATGTAATTATAAAATAGAATCTTAAAACATATTTGGTTTTGTATTGTTTTATTGCGAGTTTTACTTGTAGCTTTAATGAATGGGATTTATGGTAACTTTTAATTTTGGATTTTATAGCAGTGCATGTGAATGGATGAAAATGGAGAATGAGTTCTGGTGCTGGGAAAAAAAATTCAGTCAAGCAAAAACTACAATAAGAATATCATAATCTCAATCACTTGCTCTTTGATCTAAATGGTCTCCAGTCTTTATTATTAGTTGTGTAATCAATACAGTGTAGTGTTTATTGGAGAACAGATTTAGTAGATGCACAGGGTAAAACAGATGCAAATCCATCCCTAACTAAGTGAAAGGTGTCAGCATCCTTAAAGGAACTCTAGAGAGTCAGGAACACAAACGTGTATTCCTGACTCTATAGTATTAAACAGGCTAGCGCCCCTTGCTCTCCTTGAATAACTAGAAAAATCACCTTATTTTAAACGCAGTACGGGTCCAATGGCCCCTGATCTGCCTCCTTGCCTGACATCATCAGGATTGATTACAATGTTTAGATTGATCACAATGCTATCACATAGGATTGTCTGAGATAGTCAATTCTGATGATCTCAGTAAAGGGGGGGGGGGATCCAATCGCCACCCTGGTCGATCAGTATCTCCTCATAGAGATACATTGAATCTATGGGGAAAGTTCCACATCTCTAGTGGCCATCTGAGAAGTAGCCAATGGAGGTCTCCCTAGGCTGTAGTGTAAACACACTACCTTTTCTCTGAAAAGGCAGTGTTTATAGCAGAAAGCCTGCAGGGACTGACTATGCTCACCAGAACAACTACAGTAATCTGTATTTGTTCTGGTGACTGTGCTGTCTCTTTAATTAAAAGACAGTAAGGAGGCAGGCAAGCTAGCAGGGGTTAGAGATCTAGGAAAACATACATAAACGGATTAAAAAATAGGCCTAAGAATAATATAACACGAATGCAGGCAGAAACAAAAGTATAGTCCTCCTAAAGCAGTGAAGCCAAACAAAGCTTATATGAAAACCATATTTAATTTGTGTGAAGAATCTGCAGGTGCAGGCACTGAACAGATTATTTCCCAGTAGCCAGCTAGAGAACTTTATGAACATACTCTAATAAAGCTTGGGTAGGAAGAGCTGGTAACATTAATTAGAACTTCACTTTCATTAGTCTTGGTAATGAAACGGTACTGTAACAACAGAATTACCATCAACCAAAAACTATAACACCGTAAACACAAAAATGCTAAGATCAGAGGATAGATCCTTAGAGAGGTCATTGATAGTGACTATTTGCAGTGAAATCCTTCTGCAATATTCTTACTAGCAGAAAAACAAACACAAAGAGAGAGTGAGTGTGGTATGTATATATATATATATATATAAAATACAAAATACAGAATCCAGCACACTTGTTTATTCACTAAACAATGATTTCAAATCTCAGAGATTGTAATAGTTTTATTTAAAAACACCTCATCTAGGCAAAAAATGATGGGGGTTTAGTTACATTATATGATCATACATTGCATAAGCCTGCCAACTACATCAAAGTACCCCATATTCGGCAGGTCCTATCCTAGTAGCAGCCTAATGCTTGCTCTTATATGGGGTACTTTGACGTAGTTGGCAGGCTTATGCAATGTATGATCATATAATGTAACTAAACCCCCATCATTTTTTGCCTAGGTGAGGTGTTTTTAAATAAAACTATTACAATCTCTGAGATTTGAAATCATTGTTTAGTGAATAAGCGAGTGCGCTGGATTCTGTATTTTGTATATTTTTGGCCCCAGCAGCACCCTATAATATATGCATGTTCAGATGAGTGCAGCCCTCTTGGTTTCATATATATATATATATATATATATATATATATATACATACACACACACACACACACTCTCCCCCTCTCCTCCTCTCCCCCTCTCCCCATCTCCCCCTGTCCCCCTCTCCCCCTCTCCCTCTCTCCCTCTCTCCCTCTCTGTTAATACTTAATTGAAAACTTGTGGGTTCCCATGGGATTTATGATGGCACTCGACAGGGTTGCCTCCATCTCCAATTCTGTTCGTCCTCTTGTTGGAGCCTCTTCTGCATCGTGTCAGGGAGGATAGATCTGTTCAGGCTATGACAATCGGTCAGGAGACTTATAAGGTCGCGACTTATGCTGATGTTTTACTTTCTATTATTAACCCAGTTCAATACCGTTTTTTGCCTATAAGATCATTTCGGAGTATTTTCACGCTATAAAATTAACTACTACCGATAATTAAACACCCTTGGTTGACACCTTGAAAGAGGGATTGGAGTCCTGGCAAGACAAGCCCATCTCTTGGATTAGCAGAATCCACTGTATTAAAATAAACGTACTGCCCAGACTTTTGTTCTTATTTCAGATTCTGTCTCTTTGAGTTACTCAAAGTTGCTAGGACCGACTTGGACAGACTGCAGAAAGCAATATTTAGTTTTTTTTGTCAGAATAAGCACTGCAGACTGGCCAGGAATCTTCTCAATAGATATATACACCAGGAATGTGGTTGAGGGTGGGGGGGTTAGGCCTTCTGAACTTTCTTATATATTATTATGCTGCATATTTGTCCCAAATAGTTATGTGGCATGCTCCCAATGGAGATCACCAATGGCTCGACCTTGAGGTGTGTTCGGATTTACCATCATTCTTTATGTGGCTCGACAAGCCCTCCAGAGTTGTACTGTGCACGTTGCGTCCTGTCCTGTTGCATTTTTTGTTATTGTCTCATTTGGTAAATTCCCCTTTAATTGTAAAGCGTTGCGAAATAAGCTGGCGCTATTTAAATTCCAATAATTATAATAATGTTAAATTACATTGTGTCTTGATTTATTTAAAAAATAAAAGCCAAAATGTAGAAGCTATGTGTGGAAAACTAAATACACCTTATGATTCAGTAGCTTGTAGAACTACCTTTAGCATCAATAACGTGAAGTAATCATTTTCTGTATGACTTTATCAGTCCCTCACATACTTGTGGAGGAATTTTGGCCCATTCGTCTTTACAGTGTTGCTTCAGTTGATTGAGGTTTGCTGGTATTTGTTTATGAACAGGTCTCTTAAAGTCCCATCAAAGCATTTCAATCGGATTGTGGTCTGGACTTTGACTGGACCATTGCAACATCTTGATTCTTTTTTTTTTCTTCTTCAGCGATCCTGTTGTAGATTTGCTGGTGTGTTTGTCCTGTTAAATGACCCAATTTCAGTCCAGCTTTAGCGGTCAGACAGAAGGCCTCACATCTGACGCTATAATACTTTGCTATACAGAGGAGTTCATGGTCAACTCAATAACTGTAACATTCCCAGATCCTAGGACTGCAAAACAAGCCCAATTCATTACCCTTTCCACACCGTGCTTGACAGTTTGCATGAGGTGTTTGTGCTTAAATGCTGTTATTGGTTTTTGCCAAACATGGTGCTGTGCATTATTGTCAAACATCTCCACTCTGGTCTTATCTGTCCAAACGACATTGTTCCAGAAGTCTTGTGGTTTGTTCAGATGCAAACCAAAGCCGTGTTGTCTTGTTCTTTTTAGATAGACTAGAAACCCTTCCAACAAAAGCATACCTATTTAGTCTTTTTCTAATTGTATTGTCATGATCTTTAACTTTTTTTTTGCAATTTTTCTGAGCACGGTTTGAGCCTGGGGTAAATTTGCTGGGATGTCCACTCCTGGGAAGATTGCCAACTGTCTTGAATGGTTTTCACTTTTGAATAATCTTTCTCACTGTAGAATGATGGACTTTAAACTGCTTGGAAATGGCCTTATAACCCTTCCCAGTTTGATGGGCAGCAACAATATGTTGTGTTTTTCATCTGAGATTGTAGTTAACTAATTTAAATACTTGTTAAGAAACAGATGTTTGTTCTAATGTCCTGATATGTAAAACCATATAATTCAAAGAGGGTGTATTTTTTTTTTTTCCCCATGACTGTATATAAACAAATGATGAGTCTGGGACTCTGCCTGATAAAAAAATAAATAATATAAATCTGTACAAACCAAGATGCTTCTCAGCGCTGGATATAGTCCATTGAAATTATGAGAGCACTCATAATAAATAAAACACTCCAGGTATAAAATACACATAGATTAGTAGATCAATAGATGAACATTTTGAATATATATATATTTTTATTATATATACATATTATATTTATACACACTTGCTCCAGACCTGTACTTTTAATTTACTAGAGTGAAAGAACCATTACCCAGCTACATACAGTATGTCATTCTGTTAAAATTATACCTGTTTTTATACGTATTCACCAAAGCATCCTTTATATTGTTATTTTGTAAGGTTTGACTAAATTAAATAAACTGATACAGCAGGTACAGCCAGTAAGGTGGGCTTTTGTATAAAATGTCTTTCTTTTTTTTTCTCAGCAAGCAAATTGTGGGATGATTTCAATAAATGTTTAGTGACCTCCTTATTTTTTATTTGTTTAAACAGAGCTTTTCTCATCTGTGATTCTTGTATATTTAATTATACTTAATATTTTCACAAGCCTGTGGTTGCCCCATAAATAAACATTTATCTGATGACGTTCTGTGATTCCAGAAGTTTAGCAATTTTAATCTAGTATTGTTTTGCAACTTTCCTTGTATTTTTTTTTTCCACTGTTCCTTTGTACAGTAATCTTACATTTCTGATATTCCTGTCCGGTTCAATGGGTGATCTATGTATATTTCAACACCCATCCAGCAGGGTTAATCGGATATGTACTTATGTACCGGCAGCTGTTTCACTGAGTACAATACAGGAATGAAACTGCTACTCAAGCTGACAGCAGCCATGGATATATAAATGACTTCTGCCTTGCCTTGTTTATGAGATACCCTAAATGAACATCTCCAAAAGAGGAAGATATGTTTATAGGGTGCTTGCTGCCATTGAATTCCTTGTTGTGCTGGTTTAGAACAG